CCCCCCCCCCCCCCCTCCCCCTCTCTCCCCACCCAAAGGGTGCAAAGTTCTCCAAGCCCCAACGCTGCCAAATTGCCAATTGAAAACCCAATCTCCCCCCGTCCCCCCTTTTTCCTTCTTACACAAAGAGAAAAAGGAGCGATATAAAGCATGTCACCATCCACCAGAGCTCTGTTCACAGTTGGGGAAAGAGCAACATTCCAAAAATGCAGTCTGAATAATAACTAGGCAAAATGGCGAAAGCATAGTACTACGACATTTGAGCTGGACGCGCAGCTTTGGCTAAGATGATCACCTGCGTCTCTGTTCTGATCAGTTTAATATCTGATATATGTTGTCCATCGGAAATCATTGAAAATTTGAACAAAAAAAAAAAAAAAAGGCTAGGCAAAATGAATGCTCCCCACCTAGACCACCTCCTCCTTATCTGCCTCCTACTCTCTCCTCCTTCCTCCTCCTTCCCCCCTCCTCCTCCCTCCACCCTCCTCTCCCTCCTCCTCCCTCCTGCCTCCTTCTCCCTCCTCCTCCCTCCTCCTCAGTCCTCCTCCCTGCCTCCTCTTCTCCGCCTCGTCTTTCTTCTGCTCCACCCTCCACCTCGTCGTCTGCCTCTTCCTCTCTTCCTCTTCTTTCCTCTTTTCCTCCTCCCTCCACCTCCTCCCTCCACCTCATCCCTCCGCCTCCTCCCTCCGCCTCGTACTTCTCCCTGCCGCCTCCTATTCTTCCTTTTCTTGCTCCCCTTCTGCTCCTCCATGCTCAGAGTCAGGTTTAGCAGAGGCGTGTCTGCTGCTCCTCTCACTCCCTTCTCCTCCTCTTGTTTTTCGTCTTCCTCCTCCATACCCACCTCTTTCTCCCATCTGCTATTCCCTCCTCCTCCTGCTCTTGCTCCTGCTCTTGCTCCTGCTACTTCCATAACCATCATCATCTTGCTCAAATGAAGACCCTTTTCATGTTTAAACTTTCGATGATTCTTTTCTCATAAGTTCATCCCATGTACAGGAACTGACGAAGACTTCCACAAGTGGTTTAAAAAACATGTTTTGTAGGCTTCATTTGCTTCCCATTCGGTCGAGTGAAATTGGTCTTTATTGAGGTCAAATGCATTTGGTTTATCACGTTTCACACCAGTCACGTACCTGTCCACGGCTGAGCAGCCTCTTCTCCATGACGTCTTCAGGACAGTCGAAAAACAAAATGAACTCAGGATCAATTCCAGTCTGCATCACCAATGACATCATCCTTT